TTTGGGATCAGATATGTATTATTATTCAAAAGATTCTTAAAGTGAATATCCAAAAAAAACCCCAGAACTGTTCTTATTGGGTTTGTTGGAGAAAGAATTGGAGAAACATGGAATTCTGTTTTTGTATATGATCACAGCTGCAAGATTATTATATGCACGAAGATGGAAACATCCACAAATACCTACAGTGGAAGAATGGATCATTAAATTAATGGATTTGGCTCAAATGGCGAAGTTAACAGCTTTAATAAGAGATAACACTGTTTCTAAATTTGTCTCCTTATGGCAACCTCTTTTAGATTATGTGCTTGTGCGGGAAAAAAATGAGGCTTTAATTGTGGGTTTTAATGATTAGATGGCTTGTGTTGATAGAAATAATGTGAACTTGCATTAATTAGTGGTAAGAGATTATTATTTTTTTTCAATTTGTATTGATTTCAATTTTTTCAAACTGTTTCAATTTTCTATCTATTTTCACTATTATAGTTTTTGTCTTTTTTCTTTTAGTTCTATTTTCTATTTTTGCTGTACTCTTTGTTTTGCATTTTAACTGTACTTTGAAACATAATAAAGTTCTTATTAAAAAAAAGAAACTGGTCAAACAAACTATGATTATTTTGCTTCTCCACAAGACTGCTTGATCAACAAATTAGGGTTATAGCAAACCATGGTTAGTAGGATGTGTGAACCAGGCCATTTTAAATTAATTTGGCTAGTGGTTGAAGAATCCTGAGTTGCAATGTAGGGGAAAGCTGGTCTGTAAAATATTACTTCATGTTCCACTAACATTTTCTTACTGATACACTGCCTGACATACAAATGTTCTGGTAATGGAGGAGATACTCAGTATGTTTATTTTACAATTATAATTGCTTGTACATAATCAAATCATGCCTCCATTTGTTGAGTGCAGGCAATGAGACGAAGGGCACATCCTTCTCTCCCCCCTCAATCTATTTTTTCTATAACTAGCACTGAACCTGAAATTAAAAAAACCACCACCAATCTCTCCCTGTGATGAACCAAAGAGCGGCAAGCAGATGGTGATATGACTGGCAGAACCAACCACTATTTACTTGGACAAACAAGTTACATTTTTCCAGCTGTACAGCAGGACTGATTCCTTAGAAAGAAGCTCTCCAACTCTCCTGTCAAGTGAATGAGGTTTGATTCCACAGATATGCAAACACAAGACATTACTTAATGTTGATTAACATGTAAAATATTTGTGGTCCTCCCAATGTCACTGCATTCCCAGCAACACGAGCCAGCACGGCTCATGATGTGGAATGTTGAGATCTGCAGTTTAACACATAAATGGTCAGAGAACTTCTATCACTGATATAGTCCAAACACAATATATTATCACTGCCTTCCAGGATCTCAGGTGCAGACTTTCCCAAACTCTGCTCTTTGATATTCCATTACCCGGAAATATAAAAACTGAACCTTTTACATGCAGTATGTGGGCTCAACCAACCACTATTTTAGAGTCCCTCTGCAATAATTTCATCAAAGTCCTACTGCTCTGAAATTCAGAGAGATTCGCACACTGTTTTATTCCTCGACAGAAAAAGAATGGAAAGGTGTTGACAGCTTTTTTAACAGAAGAAAACCAAGCTGGCTTGAAAATACAAGCCAGTAATACCATTAGCTGCAAACATATCCAAGTGTGTTCCCCACTTTAATATATATACAAAGCAACAGAGAATATTGTGCTTCTTATTTGTCATTAAGTATGACAAATACTTAATGTATGAGGTGCCCTGTTGGAACAGGCCAAGGGTTCATCTAGCATCCCATGTGTAGCCAGATGTTTCTGGGAGATTACATCCCGCTCCAGCACTTGGTACTCAAGTGACTTATTGCCTTGTATGCAAAGTTTTAGCAACCATTTCCCAACATTGGGCTATTACATTGCCGTAGTCTAGGTCACCCTATTGGTCCAACAAAATTAATACGATCCATTCTTCCTGGCAAATGCAGTTTTGGATTCCAGTCAAAGGGCATTCCCAGTCCTGCTGCCTTATCATTTTTAACTGATAAAGCCAGGGATCCAATTTATGACTCCCAGCATGCAAAGCATGTGTTGTGCCACTGCAGGCAGAGGACACAATCTCCATTTGTGTCCTGTGACCGCAGACTGCATGGTCTGCCCACAGTGGCGCTTTTTATTCCCCCTTGTAGAATCTACAGCGGTAGCCCCAAAGATTTTGCCTTTTGGTAAGCAACTTTCCAGTTTGCAAGATACTACAGCAGATATTTTTCCAGATTAAATGATTCAAGGTAAGCCTTAATGCCACCCTATCTCCATAAGCCATAAGGGATGGATCAAGCACCAAAAAAAGGCCCAGATGTTCTAGACTGTATGAGGCTGCATGGATGTGTCCGAAGTAGGATCCCCTTTCCAGGCTGTAACTGAGTTTTCCCCGGCAGCTTCTCCCTTCCAGGCTGCCAGACGGCTTTCTGCGGGGCTTGGATCTCCTGTCTTCCAACCACTGATGGTGCTCTCAGCAGATGGCTCCCCTGCTTTCCAGGCCACAGGAGCAGGACCAATGCTCGCCTCTGCAGCAGGAGCAGCAGTAGTGGCAACATTTGATTTCTCCTTCCAGTCAGCCGGGGAGGACGAGGTTACGAGGGCCCCAGGGGCATCAGACGGCCCACCCTTCCAGGCAGTGTGGGTGGTCATGTGGCGCTCAAGCAGAGTGCGGTGAGAGAAATACTTGTTGCAGATGCAGCACTGGAAGCGTTCAGGGCGGTGGGTGCGCATGTGCACGTTGAGGGAGCTCTTCTGGGTGAAGCGCTTACAGCAGATGGAGCACTGGAAGGCGCGCACGCCGGTGTGGGTCACCATGTGCTTGAGCAGATAGTCCCGTAGTGAGAAGGAGCGCCAGCAAATGCTGCACTGATGGGGCTTCTCACCTGGAAAGGGGAATAACACAGCAGACCACTTGAGAGGGCTGAATTCTCGACTCTGAACAAAAACGTTGCTCTGCAGTGGGGGGAGAAATCCACAGGCAGCTCCCCCCCTTTTACAATCCCAAAGCATCCCCCAATAGTGGGGGGAGGCCTGTTAAGCCTTCATTAGGTTTATCGCATCTATTTTTCATCTTAATCCCACTCCAAAAGAAACACAAAAAGACAAATGTGTTCATCCCAGGAACTTCACTGAAATCACTGCACTACCTCTGCACCCCTTGGGGGCAAAGAAAAACAAAGGTTTTCCCCACGGCTATAAAAAGATGCCTTGCCTGCTTCACAATGCAGAGAATTCCTTTCTTTGAATATAATACAAAGGTAGGCACAGTAGATATCTCTAAGATACTTATCATCACATATACTGTATATTGCCCTCAAGTCTATTTTGACCAGTGTTTCTCAAACTTGGGGACTTTAAGATGTGTGGACTTCAACTCCCAGAATTCCCCAG